TAGCCCGTGAACAGGCTCCTGAGCCAGTTTGTGGTGAAGTGTGAAAGAAACATCTCTAATCAAGACAAATGATAGTTGGCAAAGCTATATCCTGAAAGTAAATATCTTTTGAACATGATGGCACTGCAAAAGGAACAACCCCAAATGCAACTTGACTCATTAAGAAAATATGGTAATACAGTGGTATCCCGATTTCTCAAACCCGTTATTTTTCTCGCAACAACTAGAGCCAAAAATCATTTCCCTCCCCTCAATTGAACCCTGTAATTTTATCCCCAATATTTTGAACTCCCCAATATATCAAATCAATTTTTGTTTCCCTTGGAGGTTCAAAAAATTTGAAATTCAACTGTAGTAGATACAATGTTTAACAAGCTGTACCAAAACTGATTTGAAGTTTGTTTTACAATAGATAACATGAAAAAAGAATATTACCCAGGTCTGATGTAATATTACAGCAGTTCTCAATTGCACATGACCTTCAGAGCAAAATGTCTAAACAAAAGGTTGAGTTTTGGTGGATGTCAGTCATCTCTGCCACTTTGCGGAAAGCCTAGGGGCATGTATGCACAGCTTGTTTGTCAGGGAACTTGAGAATGTACTAGTTATCGGGGCCACCCAAAATTTAATAGAGGTAGTCTCGCTTTGTTTTAGAATAGGCGATGACAGATCAGAGTCCAAAATAGAAATTGACCACTGAAAAAAAAACATTAAAACAACCGTTTATTATTGTCTTCATGTGATTCCATGTTACCTTAAAGCTTGTTTGTTTTTGAGTAGATTGATGTTTCTACTAAACCTCCTGTAAATTCCCAGTGTTTCCACCACATTTAAGCAGCCACCTCCCATTTCCCTGAGGGTGGCCACTAAATAGGAATTTGACTGTATTTTGTGCTCCTTTTTGCACTCGTCTAAATTGATTTCATTCAGTCTTGCTTTAACATCTTTTTCCCCTTTTCACTGTTGCAGCGTACAGCTGAAGATTTACTTAATATGACAGGTAAGGTGTCACCTGTGTTACAGTACATCATGGGCAGTTTCTAATTTCCCAACTTCTGTGGGTGGGTGTGAAAAGTGAAGGCAAAGCATTTTTCCACAGCCATTATTCGCATCCTCTCTCGGCTTCTCATAGCAACATTTTGAGGGAATTACGGGCTCCTTGTAGACTATGGCTGTATTTAACAGAAGTGTTTGACAAGGCATACATTTTAATACAAAAGGGTTTGCTGTACTATAAAAATACTAAAACCAATAGATTTTGGTACAGTAACCAGTTATCATCTCAGTGTCATTTGCCATTCATGAAGTTTGTTTTCTGTTGTCAAATTATTTTGTCTTGCTGTTTTATATTATTATATTATTGAATCTTGTGTTGTTTTCCATTAGGTCTTATGGGCGACCAAAAAAAGGTGTGTTGTGTTGAGAAAAAAAATGATTACTTGTATCTTATGCTTTTTTAGAACTACACAATCATGTGAACGGTAATTTTGTTATCTTTGTGGTGTTATCATAGCAAAGAAACTTACCTATTACCATCTGATTGCTCAAACTGCATTTTGTGAAGACAAAAGCAAAACAGCTTATCCAAGGATCTTAAAACACTCTTGAAAGTGGACTGCCTCATGTGCTATATGTTCTTCCTTATAGGCAAGATTTGAGAATGCTCCATCCAAAGTGATCCACGTCAGAAATNCTTATCCAAGGATCTTAAAACACTCTTGAAAGTGGACTGCCTCATGTGCTATATGTTCTTCCTTATAGGCAAGATTTGAGAATGCTCCATCCAAAGTGATCCACGTCAGAAATGTACCAGCAGATGCTGTCGATACAGAGGTGTGTATGAACACACAGAATTTGTTGTTTTTCTGTCATTTGATTCTCCAAGTTGACAGAGTACAGAGTATCAATAATACTGTACACTGCTCAGTGTACTTGCTTCCAAGAAGATTTCACCCCGTGTTTTTCCTTTCTTAGATGTATTTTGCTGTTGTTACATGTGTTTTTGCTGCCTTTTTGAAAGGAGATGTAGGATTGAAACTAATAGCATTGTTAATCTGTAATGGGGGGGAATACTCTGTCAATGTTTGAGTGGGGGTGTGCCACTGGGCCACTTAAACCCTTACCCAGTACTAGACCATGATCAACTTGATTTTGCAACCCTATTCTAGACTAGGTACCCCTAACCTATCCCAGACTAGCTATCTTTTCCATGCAGAAACTTTGTCACTATTTTAGTCCAGCATACGCTAACTAAACCAGTATTTAACAAAGTCACTTCCGAGTGTCAATTTCTATTATAGAACCCTGGAAAAAGAACTCTATTCTGGACTGAATTATTCATACACCGTCCACTTTCCAAGCTCTTGAGCTTAGATTCTGAAAGGCGTCTATTGATAGGTGCTATTTTATTTTAACAGTTGCTTGCTTTGGGGCTGACATTTGGGCGAGTTAAAAATGTACTGCTCTTGAAGTCCAAGAAACCCCATGAACCTACCCAGGTAAGGATTAATTTTGTACTTGTTAGAATTTAAAGTACAGTAATTCCCTTGAAATTGTTCTACTATCAAAGATTTTTTGAAAATTGGCATAAGTAACATTCATGATATGAACAGTAAAAAAATGCAATAAAAAATGGGGTCACCGTGCTTGTTTACGCATCGGCAGGCTCTTAAAATGGGGTACAGTGCAGCTCAGATATATGCAAACTACGCATACGCATATTATACGAGTGTATTTTGCGTATACGCGTATGTTAATACGCGCACATATACGCATATATACGTGCACATATGCATCCTGCCAATCAATGAAAGCTATCATATTTCGAGTTTTCGATCACTTCGCAAATTCACTGACAAACTACCGTTTATTAACACTTGCTTGATCATAAGCTACCAAAAATAGCAAGAATATTGAAACAGTCGCTTGCACTCCCTATTTTAACACGTGAACTTAATGTTTTTACAAGTTAAGATCTGTGTTTCGGCGCGTGTTGGCATGTCGTTTGTAAAGTGTTTATTGTCTGAACCAATCTGAAGATCTTCGTTGAAAAAATGACATCTCCTGTTTTATTTGACACAAATCGTTCATTCAAACAGTAAAATGCTCTTTCTTTAGCCAAATAATTTTTTATCAAAGTTTCACTGGCACGTCGCTCACTTTTAGTTATTTTTTCTTCGAGGGAAAGTTCTGTGTTTCGGCGTGCATCGGCAAGTCGCTTGTGAGAATGTTTATTGTTTGAAGTGTTCCGAAGACCTTGTCGAGAAAATGATATCTGCGGTTATATCTGACACAAACCGTTCCAAATGGTAAAATACAATTTCCCCGACGAAAGAACTGTTTACTGAAGTTTCTATGGTGCGCCGCTCACATTTGTTATTTATAATTTTCTTCAAGAAAATGTTCTGCACATGTTTCCAAGTCGCGCGCTTGCTTGGACCATGTTTACTTTGTGTCGAAAAAAATTATCATTCGGTTGTGTTTGCTCCTTGAAGATGGGATTGTTGAAGCGTGTAGGTTCTATTTGACAGTAAAAAAAAACGGTAAATTTTTGATTTAACGGTAAAATACTCTCTCTTTTAATTATATTCAGTCAGTTAATTTTCTGTTAAGTGCCCAATTGCAAAATGTTAGTTTCAGCCAACATTTTGGTAATAACTCTAGTCTGAAGGCATACGCGCGTATACTGCATACACGAATTCAAAATAAAGAAAACTCTTTCTCGCTCTGTGGCAAGCTGTCAAGCCATTGAAAAGAACAATAACCTGTTAAGAAAAGAAAAAACAATAGGTTAGCTCATACATGCTAATCAGGCATACGCATATATACTGTATACGCGTATGTGCGTATATTCATACGCCTATACGCGTATTGGGCTGATGTGAATTACGCATATATTTTGGTTCGGATATATCTGAGCTGCACTGTATTTTTACTGGTTGTGCGTTAAAAATCACGCTCTGACAGAATTAAGTCTTGGTTACTTGAAAGACAAAATTTTATCTTGAAAGTAAGGCTTCTGTTATTCACATAAGTCATATTGCTTCATTTAAGCCATTTTTGATTGCCTGGTTGTGGGAATATTGCACTTTTTCAGACAGTTCCGTGGTTAGCTTGGTTAGCCTTGTCTTGGCCAAAATGCACCCACTACGGAACTATTTTCCAAAAAAAAAAAATCATGTTCTACTATCAAACTTTTTTTCGTCTTCAAATATGTTCATTATTAGACTGTTCTTGGCAAATACCTGAAAAAAAAAATCGGGGTCACCGTGCTCATTTAAGAGAAAAGGAGCATTCATTTCACTATCAAGCTTAGTTTGAGGTAAATCTGATGTACATGTACGTCATATACACTCAAGGGGTTAATGTATTTATGTTCCTGTTTCTTTACAGGGTTTCATTGAAATGGAAGACAAAGAAACTGCCTCCACGTTTCTAAATTATTACTCTCATGTTACACCAACCATAAGGTATATACATGTAGTGAAGTATGGTTTTGTGGATTCTCTGTTGATGATTTTCTATAATCTCCCAAAATCACCCTGCTGACAAAGCAAGTGACATTGTGAGGAAAAATAATCTTCCAATGCTATTGGTAAATAATAGTGCTGTAGTACAAGGAGATGTTATACGTTGATCACTAACACGAATACACTTGTCTGGATGAAGATCTACGATGTTTAAAATTCTGTTGTTGTTGTTGTTGTTTTACCATTAGAGGGCAAGTGGTTTATGTGCAGTATTCCAATCACCCAGAGTTGAAAACAGAACCTTCACAGCATTCCTCAGGGGTAAGTATTTTACATGTGGTTCTGAAGCTACTGTTTTCTTTTTGCAAACTGAGGAGTTATTTGCTAATTTAAAATTTCTATTTTGCCCTTGCTGCAGACGTCTAAAATCATTGCTGCCGGCGGAGACTTCAACACTCCATACTCAGCAGATGGGCAACAAGCAGCTGTTGCAGCAGCTGTTGCTAAAGGTGTTGGGAAAAGCAATGTCATTAGAGCAGTGATTGACAAGTTGTGGTACCCGATAACAGTCGAGGTCCTCTATAAGGTCAGTGTTGTGTACAGATGTACATCTAAAGGCATCTGATAATTGCAAGACTTACAGTATAGCCAGATTCTGAATTTCTGAACTTTTTTTGACAGATATTTTCCAGTCTGGGAACAATTCTAAGAATTGTCACCTTCACTAAAAGTGGTAAGTTTCCTACAAGTGCAGATTGGGAGTTATCAACTATGCATCCTTTTAGTAAGGATTCAAAAAGTAGCCATCCAAAATGCACCATAGGGTCTGCTAGAATGAACAAGTTATAAAGCAACATATGGAAAATAAAACAAGTTCTTTAAAACATGGCCGTCCACAGGACGCCTGGATGGCCATCTGGTTAGGAGCTTGTAACTATGTTCTTGTTTTTAACTACTTCCTGGGGTGTAGTTGTACATAATTTCAAGCATTGCATTCCTTATCAGGACTTGAGAACAAAGAGTTTCCAAACAACATGTAGTTGTTTAATCTTTATCAAAAAC